GCCACTGGGAGGGGAAAGCAGCTGCCGCTGGCCGGGCTGGGCAGGGCGCTCCGTCCTCATCCACCTTCCTGCAAAGGCAAGGACTAACGAACACACTTCAGCACAAAATTAGGAACACGATGCAGCACACTTATTTTTAACAAAGTGACCTTCGTCAAGCTCAGAGCAATTTTTTGCTTAATTTTTTTCCAAAATGAAAGCCAAGTCAATCATGAAATGCCAAGGGAAGATGTTAACTCTTTATTAATAAATTGCTTTAGAAAGGCTTAGTGAGACAGGATTAATGGATTGGATGGTCAGAAAGGGCCGCTGTAATCTTCTAGTGTGACCTGCAGCAGAGCCCAAGGCTGGACTGGGTGCAGCCCACCGGTCGAGGCAGTTACAAAATCTTTTAATCCGTGCCACAGAGAGTCTCTGACAACATTCTGGCCCAAGGGTCAGACCCACCACGAACACCGCGCTCTCTGTTTCCAGTTTTGTTCTGACTTCCCCTCACAGCCCCTGGCTGTGCCAGCCCAAGTTCTTTAAATACCGTCTTTCAAAGTATTAACGACTCTCTTCCTCATGACTGCTTTATTTTACAGTATAAAAGTAATAATGGCCTGATTCTAAACTTAGTTACTCCCAAAGCTGCGCAGAATAAATTCATCTCTGTGACTGGTTCAATTTTACATTTGGGTAACAGAGGCCAAACTCTTCTCCACAAAGGGACAAACCAAACAAATCCACGGGAGGGCAAGTCAGCCGTGTGCCTGCCAGATAGCACAGACGCTCTGAGCAGCTCAGTAGGGAGCATTAAAAAGGAGAGTCGGCCATGAAGTGCTACTTTTTTTGAGGAACAAACGAAAAATTGGATTACCAAAGCACGTCATATGTCTGAGCCCAGCTCTGCGCACTGCTTGTCTGATATGTGGTTAGCTAACGACTCTATGATGTCAAGGAGAAGGAGCTGACTTAGGGAGCGGAGATTTGGCAACTTGGAGACCTTCAAGGAAAAGGAAAACAGAAAAGAAAAAAAAACAAAACAGAAAGAAATTAAAACCCATCCCAAACCACAGCTGACGTATCACTGTTTCCCCCGCGCCACCCCGCGCCAGGTTGGCGTGAAATCACGGCCGAGGAGCTGGGCTGCAGGGGCTCAGTCCCGACTTCTGCGCTTATAACCTGAATTCAGATCAGACCCCGAGTTCAGATCAGACCCCGAGTTCAGATCAGACCCCGAGTTCAGATCAGATCCCGAGTTCAGATCAGACCCCGAGTTCAGATCAGACCCCGAGTTCAGATCAGACCCCGAGTTCAGATCAGATCCCGAGTTCAAATCAGACCCCGAGTTCAGATCAGACCCCGAGTTCAAATCAGACCCCGAGTTCAGATCAGACCCCGAGTTCAGATCAGACCCCGAGTTCAGATCAGATCCCGACTTCAGATCAGACCCCGACTTCAGATCAGACCCCGACTTCAGATCAGATCCCGAGTTCAAATCAGACCCCGAGTTCAGATCAGATCGCTGCCTGGAGGGGACTGAACGGAGAGCGGCAGGAAAGCTGACCCCAGCACCTCCTCCCTGAGAAAGGAGCGTCGTTACTGTTTATATGATGGCTCTGCTGCTCGTGGATGCACTGAGCACTCTGCTAAAAGCACAGCCGGGCACCCGCGCAGCCCTGGGCTTTGAAGTCTGCGTGTTGCTCCTGAGAATGTGACTCAGGACCCGACCTCTTTGCTCCCATGTGCTCTGAAGGAGAGGCCGTGCCCGGCGCGCCGCCCGCGGGCAGAGCAGGTCACTGGAGCGCCAGCCAACACAAAACCTTCGCCACGTCAGGTCCATGAGGATCTACAACGGACTTTGTGCTCTTAAGCTGTTCCGAAGCTCAACTGTCATGGCAAAGGTGCTCGGCACATCCCTTCCTTCTCCACAGCCTCACAGGAACGAGCCAGTAACGTCTCTTTCTGGAGTTACTGACACACAGGCCCAGCCGGGGGGCAGACCCTGCCTGTCCCCTCACCCAGCCCGTACTCACTGACCTCATAAATGACCATCACCTCGCTCGAGAAGCTTGGCTGTCATAAAGAATAGAGACGTCCCGAGCAGCTTTTGAAACCCGGGAAGGCAACGGCTGAGAAAGTAATCTCCCCAAAATAAGGGTCTGCAAGGACCGAGGGGGACAGAGAACCCCCAGACCCCGGCGGGACACCTGCCCCGAGGCACGCGCTGCGGAGGAAGGAATCGGCGCAAATGCTTCACGACAGCGGATTTATTGGGGCTTGTGCCCAATACTGACACATGAGAGCCCAAAACCACGTTGCCCAAACAAGCAAACCCCTGGGCACAGCTCTTTGATTCGTGTGGGGAAAACTGAACAGCCCGAATCGAGCTCAGTGTTAATCGAGAGGGGAAACGGGAGATCCCAGCGGCTGTACGCCCGCCCTGCTGAAGCCTTGGTGACCCACTGGGCTCACGCTGCTGAGACAAATCACCCTTCAGAGCCCGCGGCGCGTCAGCGAGCACCACGGCAAGCCGTGCCCAGCCACACAGTCACCCAGCGCCGGGCCAAAAATCACACACTGGAGCCTCTCAGGCCCAAGGAAAACATTGCATAATTAAGATTTCTTGGTGCACAACCGCTTGACAGCCTTCCAGCCACATCTTGAGGAAAACGGCTCTGGCAGTCAACGGTTTAAACACAAAACACTTCCACACATTCTGCTTAGGGGAGCACAATGGAGCGACGCCCTTCGGTCCAAACCTCTCTGAAATGTCACAATGTTCATTTCCACCCCCTGGCACGTTCTGGTGGGAATCGCGCCAACCTGCTCGTCTTCCTGCGGCCTCTGCTGTGAAGCCAAGACCGTGAGATTTCAGCTCTCCGGGACTGTCACGCACTGACCTCAAAGCCCAGGAGATGTCCCGACCACCGGGCTGCCCTGCGACGCGCGGTGGCACCGTTGTCCCTTCCCTGCTGGAGCTGGGCCAGAGGGAAACGCACCAGCTGACGGCAGGCGCTGTGACCTTACAGCGGGAGGGCGATTCCTGGATGCTGGCCCCACTCTCAAAGCTTTTTATGCATTTGCCTTGAAAACAGATCCTATAAGGAGTGACTGAGGGAGCTGGGGTTCTTCTGCCGGAGGAGAAGGAGGCTGAGGGGAGACCTCCTCGCTCTTCGCAGCTCCCTGACAGGAGGGGCGGGGAGCTGGGGTCTGTCTCTTCTCCCAAGGACAAAGTGACAGGACAAGAAGAAACAGCCTCAAGTTGTGCCAGAGGGGTTTACATTGGATATTGGGAAAGATTTCTTCATTGAAAGGGTTGTGAAGCCCTGGCACAGGCTGCCCAGGGAGTGCCCATCCCCGGAGGGATTTCCAAGCTGGGTGGACGTGGTGCTCAGGGACATGGGTCAGTAGTGGGGCTGGCAGCGCTGGCTGAACGATCTTAAAGGTCTTTTCAAACCTCAATGATTTCGTGATTCTTTTTTCAGCTATTTCTGAACATAAAATGCATTAGGCTTGGGCAACTGAAGCATTCCATAACGAGCCTGAACACCTCCCTCTGTCTCATCCCCAGATACGAACTGGACGTAGCAGAGCTCTCCTTCCCCACGGGCAGCGGGAGGAGGACTGTCGGTTTACACACACACAAGAGACTGAGCTCCTTAAACACTAACTAGGGAATTACTATCAGCAAGTGTGCAGTATCCAGAAATCCCAGCCCCCGTGATTTCTCTACCAATTCCAGCAATGCTGGTAAGCTGTGGAATGAACTGGTGAAACCCTCCCGGAGGGATCCCGTCTCGTATGAACGAGTGACAGCCCCCGAACTCTCTCGAGCGAGAACAGGAATATCAGCACATCAGGCTCCTGACCTCTCCTGTCACTAACACATCACCCCACATATCGAAACTACAGAAAGCCCAGCCAGGACGTGGCAACTTCCCTTCTGAGCACAGGACAAGCTACCATCTAAGAGAGAGAAATACCGACAGCACACTCCTAACCACCAGCAAAAGAGAGGTTTGTGCCCTCGATACGTAACCAGCTTCTCTTGCTCTACACATGAGGACCCAGCGAGGGCACGGCACAAAATTAACGAACGAAAACGGAAGCAATTCTGGGTGACTTCTGTTTTGAAAGGTCTTCAGATTTCCAGACTAGGCTGGTCTAGTCTTTTGTTTATTTTTGGTGTGAAAAGTGCGCCTGGCAGACTTGTCAGGGAGCGTCACAACACGCAGCCAGCTCTCGGCTGTCTCACATGAGAAACAACGAAACGGATTCCTATATTAACGAGCCTTTAACCAACGCAGCGACAGAGGACAGCAGCTCTCAAAAGCCCCAGAAAAGATGCAACCAACCTTGGTGAACTGGTGCACGATGATGTGCAGGCAGTGCCTCTTCATGTCCAGGGCTTGGGTCTTGTCAGCTGCCTCTAAAATCTAGAGCAAAACCAACAAGTGACTTTCCTTCCGGCTCGGCTGCACACGCACTGCTCTGGCTCAGAGGAGGCAATTCCTCCAAGCTGGGGAAACATCTCCGTATTTCATTACAAATCTCAATCTTTTCTAAGCTATTAAAAAGTAACACCTGTATTTAAAATGCGTGGGGTCCTCAGGAGATAACTGGGAGGAAACTGAGATCCATTTCAGAGCCCAGTTCCCCGAGGTGCCCCAAAAGCAGGTAATGCTGGAACCATTCTGCTCGTGCTGCAGAGGGTTCGGTCTGCCTGCCGAGCAGGTGGCAGAAGAGCTTTTGTCAGCTTAAACTTCATCGCCAGATCCCCATTTGGTCCCCTGATCTAGCTGAGAGGCGTCCCTGCCCATCACAGGGAGGTTGGATTAAATGATCTCTAAGGTCCCTTCCAGCCTCGGCCAGTCTAGGATTCTATGATCCTGCCAGCATTACTGACAGAACAACTAATGTCACCTGCATGTCACTGTACAAACATCTCCTGAAAAAGGGTTTGGAGGCGAGCACTGAGCACATGGAACCATCTTCAGGAGACCTTCGGAAACACCGCTCTGCAACGGGGGACGAGGAGCTCAAGAGGAACGTCCTCTCGGCCGCTCGAGCAGTGAACCTTTCAGCACAGGAGCCCCAGAGGCACAAAAAGCCGGGACGGAAACGAAGCCGCTGCCCACTCGCCTGGACTCGTTGGCTTTCCTGTCCCTAAGCCCAGTGACTAACCAAAGCTGCTCGGGGACAATTACCTGGAGCACGTTCTCCACCGTGACGTTCATTTCCAGATTCTGCTTACAGTAGGCTTGTAGCCGGTTGTTGGAGAAGCCGTAATAGTAAGGTGCGGCGAAGAGGTAGCTGTTTGCCTCGTGAAGGAAAAACAGCATCGAGCAAAGGCAACGGCCCTGACGGCAAACACAAATCCACAGCAGAGGGTAAAACCCAGCCCTGCCAGATCAACCCTCCCAGGCTGCGCCGGGCAATCTAGAGCCAAAGGGAGGAGAGCTGCCGCACGAGAACTTAAGACGCTTGGATTCCTTTAGGTTTAAGGATACAGGGAGTCTTCAGGAGGCATGTTTACTTCTCCATAATAAATGTATCGAAGCATAGATTCAAAGGCTTGCTTGCTGGGCACCATTTCACCTATGGAAATATTCACCTGGCCATCCTCTGGCATGAAGGACCGGAACATGGCTTCAAAGTAACTGGAGAAAGGAAACAAAAGCGATGCAGACATTCTGCAGACAGCGGGTTTGGCCCAGTATTGTTCAAGGGCTGTTATTAAGCAAAGAAGTAAATTCAAGCAACAGCTCAGGCAAAGACACTGCTAAGTTATTGTTTCCTATATGTCTGCCTGTGAGAGAACTCCAAATAAAATCCCCCATAATTTCCATCAGCAATACCTGAAATTTGTCTCTGTTTCTTGAAAATTAGGACACTTGGTGCTTTGATTTTCATCTAATTTGCATAAGACCCAGTAGAGAGCTTAAAGCATTATGAATTTCCTTGGTATCTACAGGCTGCCAATCATCTGGAGCTGTTTTAAGAGCTGTGAAACACTTCTGGTAAAATACCACAGTAACTGATACTGAATATTATTACTGGGGCTGGAAAAAAATTGCGACAGGATTTGAAATCGAAACTGTACGTGAACACAACGTTTGGTGGAACAAAAAGGCGTGGGCACATGGAGCACACAAGCAAAGGACAAACCCACTTCACCCACATGCTGAGGAGGGAGAACCGTGCCCACCTTCGGAAGGGTGAACTGCTTCCCTCCACAACACGGTACGGAGCAACCTCGGCTCTGTTCTGCACCATTTTTTGTCTTAAACACCAGCAAGCGCGAGAGAGATTCAAATCTCAGGCGATTCAAAACAGACAGACGACTGTTTCTGACCCAGGGGACATCTGTCGCTTTCTACTTCCCTAAAATCGCCCTGGTTTCCACCCCTTCCCCTTCCCGGGATTTTACAGATTCTTTGTTCTGCATTGCAGCTTCTCACACATCCTCTGGAGAATCTCTACAGTTTTAAATTTCCTCCTATTCTTCCCTGCTGGCTCTCCAATTGAAAAAAAATATAATTAATCACTGCCACTTAAAGGCTTATTACACTCCTGGAGCCAAGCTGCACCTCACACTTCAGGCGGACACGAAGCTCCTGCCCAGCTGCCCCAGGGAGCTCTCACCCACCAGATCCCGTCTAGTTTCAGGGAACGGCGACGCACCTGGAGCGGGCGGCCAGGATGGCTTTGTGCGCCGGCCGCGGGTACCCGTCCAGGAGCAGGATGATATCACAGAACTCCGTCCCGGCTCCTTCCAGGTAAGCCTTCATGTCCTGAATTAGAGACGTTCCTGAAAGGTAACGTCAGGAAATAAAGACACGATAGAGCCAGGCGGTGTCAAACGAAGGTACAGCCAAGCCGCAGCTCCAGCCCCTCTGTGCTCTGGCAGCCTTGCGGGGACTGTGAGGATGCCCCTTCCTCATCATCCTGGGAGACAAACGAGCTTCGTCCTTCCCCATCACAAGCCATTACCCGCCACCCAGCCCAGAAACGAACGTGGCAGCTCTGCCTTCAGGCTGCCGACAGCAAACAAAAAAAACCGAAAGGTGGGCTCTGTAGAAAAAGAAATCTGATTTTTGCCCATCCCCTTTTTTTTGTTTTGTTTGTCTCTTAATGAAAAAGCTTTCCCAAATCCTCAGTAAAGGTTTCTCCTAGCTAACATCTTAATCAACCTTTGAAAATACGCAATAACTGAGAAATAGAGAGCATTCGAGGCTGATCCGAATTCACTCATACTTCGAAAGATCGTCCTTCAGTGTTTTGATGTTTGGGCACCTTGTGCTGTTCCAGTTCTGGATACAGAAGCTGGCTCTGCTGTCCTGCACGAGCATCTCTCTTCCCCCTGGGACAAACTACAACCAAAGGTTTCCTACTTGACCTTCCAGGACTGGTTTCCCCATCTTTCTCTCCAGTTCCCAATTATTTTTGTGCCATATTCCAAATCAATGCTGGCGTCAGCGAATTTCACTATTACATTCCTCTCTTTGTGCATCACAATGATAAAATCTTGATTAAGACCAGTCCCAAATCAGCCTGTGATGAATTCCGTAACAGAATTGTAAATGAAATCTTGCCCTTCCAAGCGCAACCGCAGCATGAAAATGAAAGGCGTGACCACTCGTGCAAGTTATTTATCTTCTCAACAATTCGGGATATTTTCTTGCAAGAACATGACTCTATTTAACACAACCTTTCGTGTATTTTGATGGGGATACTGCTCTGACTGAAGCTCGCTGGAAAGGATTCGGTGTGCCTTTTCTTAGTTTGGGAAACAGCCTAACCACAACGAGACCAAGTAGAGAGCGGTGGTCTGCGGTGATCTACCTCTTAGCCCGCTTCTAAACCAAACCAAGCATTAACAATGCAAAACCAGCCCAGCTAATTCCTAAAGCAGAGAAGTTACCGATGTCGAGCGGCTGGTCGGAGTGCGTTCGAACGGGAGGTTGCTGTTTCCTCCGTACAATCTCCACTATGAGGGATGAAGAAAGGTGCTCGAACTCCTTCATCATTATCACCTGATTAAAATGGGATTCCTTCACCACGAAGTTCAGGCAATGTTCCTTAAAAAAACCCACACAGTATGAGTACAAAAATTACAATTTACTGTCTGAAGTCACCTGACGGCATCACAGAATTTTCTTACAGCCCCCTCCCAAGGATCCTGCAGCTGGAACTATCAAACAACGACCTCCTCACTCGTGACCCCTTCAGCTCCTACTTGAACAGGAAATTCAGGACAACTCTAAGCTTCTTGAAAAACCTGACTAAGAAATAATAACAAGGAAAAGATTAATTGTCTCCCACCCAGCTGCTCTGAAGCTTTCTAAAACAGGAGTCTCAGGAGATGCCAAAAGCCCCGCAGAGCTAACTACAATTGCTTGCTATCCCGTAGTAATTCTTCATGCAATTAGATACCAAAAGCTAATTAAGAGGGTGAAGTGATCTTTACAGACTAAAGATACAAAGAGTTGGCAGGGTTTTCTTGAGTGCACTTTGCCTTTGCCTTTTCTGCAAAAGGCCCGAAACAGCTCTTGCAGGTTCTTGTACGACCAACTCGCTAGAGAAACCCACGTGGTGGGAAGGTGACACTGAACCACACCAAAGGCTGAACAGTCAAAAGGGGCAGAAAACGTCACTTTATTTGCCAGTGTGAACCCAGGCCTTCCCTCAGGACATGTTAAGAAGCAAAAAATACAACCTACACCAGCTCACCAAAAGGCAAGTATAAAATTCACCCAAGGAATAACGACCGTTGGCCGTTCTCTGCCAAGCTCTCTCACCCGGGATCCAAAGGGATCTGCCGAGGACCCATCTGCAAAATGTTTTAGACGATGCCTGCGATGCCAGAAGGAGCAGCCTTCGGCAGATGGCGCCTACCCACGAGGATGAACGCGCGCTAGAAAATGCCAGGACGCCAACGGAACGGCGCGAGCGGAAGAGCCCCCGTCACCCTACCGGGGCTCAGGCAGGCGGGGGCAACCGGCTGAGCTCACACCGCTGGCACTGGGTCCACCGACACCGAGATGCTGGCTTGAGCTCCTGGGCAGCTCACGGCACTGTGGTGCCGGGCACCAAAGGCCGTGCCAGCATGTCCAGCCTTGCTGCTGACTCTGCTGCTGCCCTGCTGGATCCCTTCGCTTTGCCCAAATCCAGGGCAAAAGGTGTCGGAGGAAGTGCTGGTGCACGCTGGCTTCTGCAGCCTCGGTCTGCTCACAACCACCAGCTCCGTGGCCTCCTGACGTGCGCCGGCTGCTCAAACAGGCATTGCAGGATCTTGCCCGGGCTCTTGGACACGGGTGGAGAAGCTGCTTCTCTGCAGCTTTAAGTAGAATTGGTTCTGGCCACTGTTGGTGGGAAGCAGACCATCACAGCAAATCGGGGTCACCAGCCCCGCAGTATGGACTCGACCACAGCTTTCGGCAAATGCCTGAAAGCCCCCGACCTGCTACGTAAAGGCAGAGAATCGCAGACTCACTTTGGTTTTCAGAGAACAGAATTCATTTTTTCCATCAGTCCAGGTGCCAGAGCCCCTGTGCAGCCCCTGTACAGAACAGCGGCACCAGAAAATGCACCAGTTCTGTCTTGCTGCGGTGAGAGCGAACTGATGAAAAGCCAAAGTCACTCTGCCCTTTGCCTCCTCCAGGGCAGATATGCAAAAATACCAAACATTTAGTAAAAAAAACCCTACATAATATCAATGTGCACCTGCAGGACAATCCACACTAACAAATACTCAGGTAACTCCATAGGAAGGAACTGAATTTGCCAAAGCTGGTAGCTTTTGCAAAACACTAATTATATAATCTTTTTAAAATTTCTTATCAGTTACTTTGTATGCAAAATGCGCTTTACCTTTAGCTGATCCAGCTGAAGCTTGTTAGCATTTTCACACACAATGAGCACATTCTGCAGATCTACGGATGCTTCAATATATTGAAGGCAGAGCTGTTCCAGTCGAGAGAGTTTGAAGTTTAAGGCCAGTTTGTACACATCCATGATAAGTAGCACATCCTGCACGTGACCTGAAATTACAAGAGAGAAAATTGCTGCGGAGCTCCCAGAACAAAGAGAGGAACCTTTCTCACAGTATTTCTGTTTACATCAACCTGAGCATTTCAAACAGTGGAATGGGCAGTGACTGGAGTTTCTTGGTGGAGACTAAACCTGAGTTGATACCAAAGGTGTTTTAAAACTGAGGCGTGAAACAGCCACCCCAAAAGATGTTCTTGACAATCGGGATCGCAATTCTTTAAAACCCTCAAAAGAAAATGAAGTCTCTAAAACCACCGACAAGCTCTGAAGCTAGCAGCCCGATTTTCCAAAGCGCCTGGGCGCCAGCAGCTCTGCCGGAGTTCTCGGGTTTTACGCAGCATCAGCCCCCCGATTCTGACAGAGCCTAACGAGGGCACCCTGAGCTCCTGCCTGAGCACACGGGAGCTGCTCTACAGGGGCTGGAACACGCAAGGGGGTGCGGGGACCCTCAGGGGCCACTGCACTGGGGCTACTGGGACACCAACGGAAGAAATAATCCTCAGCAGCCGTCGCTTTTCTCACAGGAGATCTCTGCCCATCTGCTGTAACTACTTTTTGATGGAGGAAAGCCTCGCGGTTCACGTGCCTTCCCCGTGTCTAATTGGAAAATCCCGTTTGATAAGCACGCCCGACTCCATTAGCTCAGCCCCGGGACGGATCCCCACGGTGCTGCTCCCGGGACTGAGGCGAGCGACTCGGAATACAAATGGTGAGGACAGGGCCACTGGAGGATGCCAGCGGAAAGGTAAAGCACGTCCGACGGGCTGGGGGAAGTGCAGCAGGCTGGCTGGGGAGCCTGGAACAAAGGGACAGCTCAGCGCAACATCCCTTTTCCTTGGTCTGATCCTGTCACACCAAGTGGGGACTGATCCCCTGGAGAGCAGCACCAGGACCTGGGGGTGCTGGTTGGATGCCCATGA